CTTTCAAAAGTTTTCCAGTCTATTGCATCCATTTCAACGTATTAAAGGTTCAAATCTTTCAAAGAAATCGAATCGAAAATTTTTTTCACTCCAAATTCTCTGTTCACATTCGCTGTTTTATACAACCATCAAATCATTTTGCATTTCATTAATATTCGCTCCATTTCTTCTCTAAAACCCCTCCGAAGCAACAACAACAAAATTTCCCTTCGCATCCATTCAGATAATGATTCAAAACCATAATTAAGGTGAATGTGAGGTGTTTAAATGGCAAATGAATATGTCGGCTGCTGGCATTATGCGTTAATGTGTTTCGAGCAAGCAACCAGTTTGTCTGGTTTAACCGACAAAATTCATCCTTTTGCAATTAAACACAACGCCGACATCAAACAAATTTACGATTGCAAGCGATTAACAGTTATGTGCTCTATTCGATTATTATGACGATGATGAGGAGGACTCAGCTATGAAAATGTCAATGAATCACTTCTTTAACGTATAATAGCATTGCTCTCTTGTATGATCTCTCAAAATTCACAGCACTCGCTCAATCGCTCAAGTACACGTAATAGACCGTATCAACAAGCGATTTTTCTTCATGACTGACTGTTTGAGCGTAATTAACTGATGAATAAACTCACATATATAAGGTGCGGATTATGAAGTATTATCGAATTCCTTTTTCAAATTAATCATACTAGATTTGGTATTAAGATTGCTATTGTCACTATCAATGATTGTCACAATCCGATAGTACATTATGAAGTACTATCGGATTCCCTTTCAAAATTAATCAGACAATTATGATATGTCATTATAATCGGCATATTCACTGCTGTTATTTGCTCTGATACCTTTAATGACCTCTAATATGAGCTATCTGAATAACTACACTTTCGGTTCATTTCGTCAGAGAATATCGAATTAATTTGAAGACACCTTGAACAATGACTTGATTATAAGATATCAGAATGTAACTAAAACATCTGAGGAAGAGCAATCAAATTGCAAAAAAAACAAACTTTTGGCGCCTCTCAAAATGAAACCAAATCCCTTTTGTCCACGAGGAATCACCAATATCCTTGGGACATTCACCCTGAAAATATCATAAGAGGAATTACACGCCACAAAAAAATTGGGGATAACATCAAGCATCCATTACAAATGTACTGTACGAGATTGTTCTCAAGCCATTGCATTGTCACTTTTGTGATTACAATCGGAATTGCATTCAACCGAAATATTTCCGTGTTCATATGAGATTATTCCGTTTCGAAAGTTTTTCCAGAATCTAGATATTTCCAAAAAAAACAATCTTACTCTTGTCCTTCGGCCATATTCGTTTTCACAACACTTGGTGGAAATCGCCTAAGCGTTCCGTATTCCAAGGCCGTTGCAGAGGATGCGGCTGCTGCCTCGGGCAGAGTGACTCGACTGGGTGAAGGACTCGGCGCTGTCATCATCTAAGAGAAACGAACAGATCACACAAGTCAATAAATCCATGAATTTTTCCACTCATTAAATCAGGTAATATTTTGCTACGATCGATATTACCTGGCCACTGTTTCGAAGTGTAGCTTGTGGTGTTCGATATTCAGAGTTAGTACTGCTACACATCGATGTTTGACTCATCGATCGACGCCTGGCCAAAGTTGACGAGGTGAGACGGCGTTTTGGATTATATGAAGGCACCCCTTGATATGGAACTGAAACAATTGTCGCATATGGATTTCAGTCGATAAAATTATGCAAAGACAGCACAGCACTCCA